CGTACGTCTCGATTGTGTAATCGATAGTACGAACATTCTTGAATACCTTCTAACTCGAGAATAGTACGCTGGAATCACTGATAGGCATTAAATATTCCGCTAATCCACATTCAAACTCATTAAGGGTATCGGATTCTAGCATTCTCCGTTCAATTCAGAGATATATAAAATTGCAAAAGTTTTTCGAGATACCAGTCGCTAGTAATTTGAAAGTGATATGAGATTTTTAACAAGCACGCTTTTTGTATTAAATGTGTAACGAAAATTTAAATTTAAATTTAAATTTTTACAAAAAAAAAAAAAAATGAAATGAAAGGATTTTACATGTCAATTCTCTTTTCGATATCGTCCAATAACTGGACTCGGATAATTTCAACGGCAATGTCATTTTAACAGGAATCTTTAATCTTAAAGAATAAGGAAACGCACGCAGGCTTTTTGCTAAATTTAATTAGGATTCCAGCCAACGAATCTAATTAGGATTCATTTATCAAGGGACACGAACTCTCGAATGTAACTTGATGCGAGAGAAATGAGAAGGTAATCATTATTTCAGAGGCAGGAAAATTCCAGGCATACCTAAATTATGAAATGAAACGAAATGCTAAATTTTAACAACGATCTCGCGAAAAGAGGGCGATCGACGTGAGAATTTGAAGTCTACAAGAGGGAAAACGGAACGAAATTGTTAAGAAGAAAACGGACCAAGAAATCTGAAAAATCGATGAAAGTCGTTCCAACGATCGAACGCAAACATTCGAAAGCAATTTAACCAGGATTTTTCACCAGGTGGAAACAGAGAGCGAAACGCAGGTGGCCGTTCAAACTTTTCGACTTTTTACGGACGCGTTCGCGACGACCGCACGCTCGAGTTTACACTAATGCTTTTTTCGATTGACCGATCTTTCAACACCCACGTTTGATCAGCGAATATTCGCACGGACCATTGTATCGTTGACGTTTCGAGCATCACTCTCGTTTTCCGGCTCAGCCAAAGACAAAACATTCGTTCGTTTTCATCATGCGTGAATACCATTCATATATATATTCTTTCATTCCAGAGGACTTCCGGAGCGTTCGCAGCCAGTTCAAGAATGTCGAAACAATGGCGCGAGTGCGCAAACCGATTCTTTCTGACTTATTAGCTAGCAAAGATGAATCAATTAAAATTAATTAGAAATTAATTGGAAGGTTCTTTCCGTTTCTTCGAAAAAAATTCCTGTATGTTTTTTTTTTTTTTTATAAAAAGAAGCATCTGTTTTTGTTGAATTTTTATAGAAAGAGGTGTCACACTTTTGAACAGTGTCCTCGTAGAACAGAATCCGTGTAATAAAATTTCCGTGGAATTTTAGAACATTTAATTAAAAATCCGTTTATGCGCTCAAATACTACTCACCGAATAGCATTTAGTGTCAATATTTGCTACAAATATTCAGAACTTTTTTTCTCATACTGAACAAACAATCTCTTTCTCCGGCAGGAAAAATTTTTATATTTATTATCAACTTCTGTCTGAAACATTTATTTCTGAGAATATTTATTTACCTGAGAACTTTACTTTCTCTCGAGAAAGTTTCAATTCGATCCACGTTTCAAATAGAACTTATTTCAAAGTATTTGGCACTATTAACATTAGTATTTGAAAACGAATAATGTGGAAAAGAACCTAATGTCTAGAACCTAGAGTCCAAAATATAGTAGATGAAACAATTTTCTATCTGAATAGCATCTTTTTAATTATATTCGCAACTGACTGATGAAATTTGATTCGTGTTGTTCAAAAGCCTCCTCTAGCGTCTCCCTTTTCCGCCGTTTGATGCCACATTCTGATGGCCTCCGAAATCGATCGAGTTTTTCCATTCATCTATAATAACCGGAAGCCATACGGAACCGATTGCCTACCGAACGAAAATAGCCGAAAGCCACGATTTTATCAGGAGACCGCGAAATCCCATTTAATAGGTTCAACCGTTTCGACCGCTTTCAATCGGCGACCTTAATTGTAAACCGCAATGCCTGACGATCAAAATGCAATTGTAAACGCCGACCGTTTATGTGTTTTTCGTGGATTCCGGAAACTCGTGAAACCTCCTTAAACCGTGTTTTCAATCCGTGTCTGTCACAATTTTCTGGGGGCAAATCGAGGACGGGAAACGCGAATATTAAGAATATTAAAAAATATTAAAATGTGACATTTACTTCAGTTTCGTTTTTATTTGACAGATTAAGAACGTTGAAACGTGACGTTCATTTGAGTGTTTCTTTTTTATTTGAGAGATCAGGAGTATTAAAACGCGACGTTCATTCGAGAGTGTCTCTTTTTTATTTTGTTTCCGAGGCAGAGGTTAATCGTATCCGAAGAAAATCCAAAATCAACCACGAATGAGTTTAAAGCGCTGCTGTTCGAGGGGAAAGTACTAACGAGGAAAATGGTCGATGGATCTTCTTGCTCGTATTATCGACGCGTTCTAACTCGATTATGGAAGACGTAATCCTTCTTTCAGGCCTTAATCGTCTTAGGAATCGCGTGTCACCGAAGTCTCCGGCCAGTAATGTCCCGATTTTTTCGCGATTGTGCTCTTACGTTTCCATGGCTAACGTTCTCTGTTGATGAACGAGAAGGGAGAGCAACGCTCTCGCAGAATCCTCTTACCCTTTTAAACCGTGATACCAGCGTGGCTCGTGCCAGGAATGCCAGGAAGAAAATGCAGTTCCGGCCACCTTCGTGACATCCCCCGCCATTTTATGCGTCGCGTCTCGACGCGTCGGCGTTATTCACCGACCATAAATTACGCTTTCTCAAACACGCATCATATCCGATCACGTCGATAATAAATGCTGCGGATTTTTGTGCATGGGAGATGATTCGACAGTGCGTAAAAGCGCAGAATATATAAAATATTCAAAATATAAAAGTAAAACGACTTTTTTTCTGGGAAACTTTTTAAATTATAATTCGTGAAAGTAGAAATCTGCGTACATCAGTGCGAAATTCATTGATCTCACAGAGGTATCTCGAGCTGGCTTTCTTTTCAATTAATCGTTTAGCGATAATTTCATTTTCGAGGGTTTGACGTTAAAAATGCACGGAAAAGTTAGACTTTCGGCGGGAACGTTTCCATCATCGGTTTCCATCATTAATAAAAAATTCTGACGCCGAGGACAGTCGAGGAATTCTCGAGTCGCGTGAGACTTTCGTAATCAATTTCAATTAACACTCGCACCGGTTTCTACTGGCGGCGAGACCTGCCTACGTGCTTTTCGAATATTCCCGGTAATTATCGGCAGCCAAAAATTGATCATTCGATGGAACAGAAATTCGGGAGCAAACCTTGCAATTAATTATCGATGTTGTACAGTGAAATTCGATGCACACGGCTCACCGGGAAACGATCGGTATTTATACACTGCGTGTAATTATTAATAATTTGCAAGACACTGATGAAATCACGCGAATGAAACCCTCGAACAAAGAGTCGCTTTGCAATGGACTTTGATTTTGTTTCTCGACTGAAGTCTGTTTAAAAGGGATTATGTAAAAATTTCTTCGCTGAGAAATATTTTGATATTTTTTCAGAAATTTTCAACATTTATTATTTTCCGTTGAAGAGAAACGTTTATATTGGCATGTTTACGTGTAATCAGCAATTCGAGTGAAATTCATACATCTAATCAAGCTCCCTCCATTGAATCGAATAAAGTTCATCTTCAATACGAGAGTAATTAAAATTTAAATCAAGCATATTCGTGCCAGTAGAAAATTGATTTATTTGCCATTACCGCCTCGAGGACAGCTCAAAGCGAAGGTTGCCGAGGAAACTCGCTTATTATCCAAATGGAAGCTCTTCAGCGGCCTTGAAAAGCTTTCAGATACTTTGAATATCTCAATAGCTTAATTGCCCGATGAAAATTAAACAATATCCCCTATGAAAACTCGTTTGAAACTTTCTGATGGGCGCGAAGTTTTCGAAAAGAGGGCCGATATGCCTTTGATCTACGAACCAAACGTTCATCACTTTTTCAATTAAATATCAAGTCGAAGCTTAATTCGGAGACCGCCGCTCGTAGCTATCCGAATGAGTGATTGTTATTCAAGAGTTAATGCATGAATAATTAAAATTTAAGATATCGACGACAATTGATTTGCAATCAATTTGTAATGCAGCTGAATGGTGCAGCAATTAGAAGAAAGCGAAGGAAAAGAAAGTTTTATCGAGGGCTCGCTAATGAAGGGCGCAGTGGAATGCTAATGAAACAAGTATGGTCGTACTAAGATTATGAATAATCGGGGACATAACCGAAACAATGAAATTATTTCACAGTGCTGTAACTGAGGACGCGGTGAAATAGTAATGTAGTAGAATAGCAGAAGACATAATAAAATAGAGGAAGCTTCAGTGAAGTAATGGAGGACACAGCGAAACAGTAAACGTCGCAAGAGGCACAGACTAAAGAGTACAATAATATAATGGAAATCACAATGGAATGACGAATGACACCGGTTAGAAAATATAGAGAAGTGGATGAACGTATAAAGTAAAAAGTGTGCCTCGTTAGTGGTGAAAGAGGGACGATCGTAGTACAACAAAACAACATTTGTTACAGTAATAACAAAAGCCACAGTAACGATATTTAACAATATGGAAACTGTCACCAGTAAGTAACAATATGGAAATTAGCAGTGAGTAACAATGTAAAAACTGTTCGAATAATTACGAGCGATGTTCTTGACCCCCGTTATACTCGTCATCATCATTGTATAACCACAATATAATCGTTCTAAAAAAGAAAAAGAAAGATCAGCTCTATGGCCAGAATTATCGTTCGTTCCAAAGGGGAGACCTTTAATCCAAAGAGTGCAAAAATGATTGTCAGAAAGAGAAACGACACTGTGTCAGAGAATAAATGACTCTGCCGTGAGAACGGGCAGACGTTTCCATCCTGGCCGTGGAACCGGAACAGAGACCGGAAGCGGCGCCGCCGGCGTTAAAACGTAGTACGTGTAATATTGCAAACTCACCGGTTTCGGCAGCCGCTTGAAGCAGCATCTGCTGGTGATGGTGTTGCCTGGTCGAGGACCTGTGATGATGCACGCTGTTGAGCACGATGTTGCTGGACGTCCTGCTAAGCGCCTTCCTCTGTCTGACCGCCTCCTTGTAGATCTTACAGTACATCACTATCATTACCAAGCCAGGGATCCAGAAGGAGACGCACGAGCTGATCACAGCGTACGGCCGGTTCACCACAAAGGAGCAGACCTGCAACGACACGGATACGCTGTATCTCTATGATCCCTTGCAATTTTACCTCCCCCTCCTCTCCGCCGATCGATGCACGATTTCGCCCTGACCGCGCCGGACAAAGGGCCATTTTCAGACGGAGCTGACCATCGATGGGATGTCTGAGATTTGACGAAACTAAAAACAATCAAATAGCGAATATTTGTGCATCTACGAAGAATTTGATCTGTAAAGTTTGTTTATATATCGTTTTAATATCTTTTTAACGACGAAGATAATGAAACTGAAGCAACTGAAGTGACGATAAGCCAAGATAAGATCTCCCTCGCGCATTTTAAAAATTACACACTTTTTAGTAACCGAACTGGCACGGTTGCGAGACGAGCGAATTGGAAATACTTCTTTGTTTTAAGCGAGACAACGCGTGCTACTGCAATTTTATGCATAGACGACAGTTTGCGCAGGAGAAGCTGCTACGAGTTGCGTGTACCCTCTAGAGACAGCGCACTTATGAGTAGCGAGAGGCTCTCGCCTATATCTCACAATCAACGTTCCACCTCCGGTGCTTGCAGGTCCCGCGGGATAACGAACAGGATAAATTACACCGTGGCCTATTAACTTGTTAACCAGGAAAGACAAGTAAACTCGTTACTCGGCGTACCAATATCTCGAAGCTGGCAGCTTCCAGAAGTTACAGTACGTACATACGTGCGAAGTAGGAAGAGAAAAATTTACGTTCGTTTCGCGAATCGAACGCTACACACTTTCAGCATTCTTCAGCTTGACAGATTAATGATGAAAGATGTATTGGATCAATTAAAAAAGAGGGAAGCTCTGAATTTATATTCCTCTTTCGGGACCTCAAAGCAATTACACGTTCTTTTTCGAAATTCAACGAAACCAGAAACCAGAAAGTCGATCCATTTTTCTTTGTATACAGTACGAGCTCGAGTAAATTACCCGAAAACAACGAGAACACCAGGTTTTTTCCCGGAAATTTAAACACTTATTAGCTCTCAATCGCGGAGCAAATTCGATTCCACCGTTCTGCGATACTTTAACGAAATGAAAGCTTTTATCTTTTGCAATACCTCGATTTAACAGCAAATAAAGATCGGCGAAATATTTCCGTACGAAGTCGCGTAACGCTCGTTCTACGATACGTGCGTACCACGGGAATAAAAGCTTTCAATTTGCGTTTCGACATGTATCGCGAAAAATACGACAACTTCTCCATTTACAAACAGCAAACCTTCGAAATCATCCCTTCGATAATCGTTACATTGGAAACGTCGTGAATCGCCGGGGGAATAAAGCGTGAATTAAAACGCTGTTCGATCATTGGATTTCGATTTTTGTCGCGCTCGGCGAGGCAGGACTATTTTAATTCAATTTCGCCTCGCGGTGACAGTTTCTGTCGTGCATGCAGAATTTATATTAAACCTCCGGTGCATAATGAGATGAAACCCTTCCCCACGCTTACGTAAACCTCATTTCGAAACCGTATTTTTAACCTGCGTTAAATCTGAGTAATAGCAGAACCAGCCGAGTTGATCGAACGATGAAGCTGGCGTTTCAAACCTGGATAGCAACCGATCAGCGAGATTAGTTTCGCGAAATTGCTAGATGAAAAATGACGGGACAACTCGTTAAAGAAAATAAGTTCGTTCGTAATTGTTCGCGACCAATTTTTTCTGTTTCTTTCTTTTTTTTTTTAAATTTAAAATTACCACGGACGTTTAACCTCTTGCGCTGGAATGACGTGCCACGCACATCGAGAATCTTTTGTCCCAGATTGCAACATTTTCTCAGTTTTAGGTATATTTAAATACAACCCAGGCAAAACAATTTAATTAATAAATTTATTACTTCTTAATAATTTCTATCTATCTACAGTGATATCGTACCGACGAGTTCAGAAAGAAAGCGACAATTTATTGTATACGGTTCGGTCACTCGTTATGGTCCGCAATCAGTTGCAAGTGGTTAACCTCTTGCGCTGGAATGACGTGCCACGCACGTCGACAATTTTTTTATTCCAGATTGCAACATTTTCTCAGTTTTAGGTATATTTAAATATAACTCAGGCAAAACAAGTAATAAATTTATTACTTCCTAATAATTTCTATCTATCTAGAGTGATATCGTACCGACCAGTTCAGAAAGAAAGCGACGAATTATTGTATACAATTTGGTCACTCGTTATGGTCCGCAATCAGTTGCCAGCGCAAGTGGTTAACCTCTTGCGCTGAAATGACGTGCCACGCGCGTCGAGAATTTTTTGTCCCAAAATTGCAACATTTTCTCAGTTTTAAGTATATTCAAGTATAATTAAGTGGGCAAAACAAATAACAAATTCATTACTTCTCAATAATTTCTACTCAATAATATAATACCGACGAGTTCAATCAAAAAAAGCGACGAATTATTGTATAAGGTTCGGTCACTCGTTATGGTCCGCGAACCAGCTGCCAGCGCAAGGGGTTAATCTATAAATCTTTGGGCGAGCAGATTCGGAAAATCTGACGTTCGTTAAAATTACTTGAAACAGCAATTTAATATTGGTGGTATAGAGATTCTCCCATCGTCCATTCGTCCACCAATTGCAAATGGAGCATCGTCTCCTCCATGTCACGCTGGTTTTCCCTTTATTACAACCGACCGAAGATCCGTTTAAATTGGATTTGTCCAATTAGCGAAACAGCGACCGACACTTGACGTTTTTATCACGGGCACGGGAATCATTCCATTAGATAAACGACTAATTCCATTTACGGTAATGCAATTTTCATCCGTGAAACAGATTCCGCGTCACCTCCCACCGGAATCTTCGCGGGACACAAAGATTTCGATCCACGATCGTTACCGCGGGTACGACGATTTCTAGATTAGTGGATCGTGACGCAAAGTGATCACGTTTGATCTTTCGCGTAGTAAATTCTCCGATGGTTCCGTGGTTCGAGATCGGCGCAACTTCTGAATCCGCAATGGGCCACAACGACGGTGTTCCCATGATGCTCGTCGACCATTATGCATAACCAAATTATAGCCAATCGAGGAAACAATGGGGCAAGTTACGTGGGGCCAGACGACGGACGTGATTGGTCGATTCGACCGGTAACGTATGCGTATGCAAATTGGGGAAAAGCCTCGCGCAAATCCTCTTATCCCCGAGGAATTATTGTCAGTAGTTACAATTTGGTATGCAGGTCGGCACAGCTTATTAAGTAGACACATTGCGGTATCTAGCCGTTTAAGGAGAGATCAGAGATCGATCGAACGATGTGTGAGTCTGCGATTGTCACACGCAGAAAGTGTATTCTCTTCGCGTACGTGTTATTTACGTATTGCGTAATGGAACACTCTTGTTCGTTCGGATGCCGTCGAACTTGAGGAAATAAACAGCCAACAACGATCGCGAATCTTTATTCTCGATTATTGAAATCAATTCTCGATGTTTAACCCTTTGCACTCGACTGTTTCTCTTTTTATAAGCTGCTGACAATTATAACGAACGTATACATTTGGTGTTGTATTGGAGGTATATTATACCATATGTCGTTTTTTTAAAAAAATTAATACAGTTTTAATCTATAATGTAATTTGACAATGAGCACAGTAAATGTCAATATGTTTAACTGATTTGATAACTGTTTAAATTATAAAGTTATTTTATAAGTTAATAAAGTTGAATTATTGTCACTAGATGGCAATGTTTATTAAATTTGAAGAAAACGAATATAACATCTGAAAGCTACAACAACGACATAAGAATAAAAAAATTTCAGAAAGAAGAAAGTCCCTGAATGAGTCAGTTGACACTCAATAATTCACATAAACTAGATTTACGAAAGTTGAACAAACGGTGGAGAATATTATTTTTCCAGAGAATAAAACTACTTATTGTTAGCTCTCGTATATCATACTTGTTTCAGCAAATCCGCCACTCAAACGATATCAACTATACGTTAGAAAGACATATTCAACAGAAAATCTCGTGTCGAATATCATTTGATCGATTGTTCCCAATGCTGTATCATTTTATTTAAAGTGACGTTGCTTCGTAAATAAATTGCTGATATAGGTAGACGATACAAAAGAAAGCTTGTCGAGGGCAAAGTGTCAATTCGCTTTGCATTACTTGAATTTGAAAATGGACACGAAGGGGAGAGCTCACCTCCGGATTCTTCACCATGTAGTCCAAGTGCTCCTGCGTGGTGTACCAACCCATGAAGATCGGTATGAAGCTGATGAGAGCCGGCAAGATCCACGCGCTGCCCAGCATACAACCGACCGTCCCCTGTCTCATGATCACCGTGTACTCGAGCGGGCTGACGATGGCGTAGTACCTGTCCACGCTGATGCAGCACAGGTGAAGTATCGAGGCCGTGGAGAAGTAAACGTCCAACGAGTTCCACACGTCGCACATGAACCGACCGAACAACCACTTGCCGCCGGACAGTTCGGCCGAGGCGTTGAACGTCATCGCGCACATAGCCACCAGGAGGTCGGCCGCCGCCAGGCTCACCACGTAACAGTTCGTCACCACGCGCAACCTTCTGTGCCTCCTCACGCTGGCGATCACCAGAGCGTTGCCCAAAACCGCGGTCGTGATGATGCTGCCCATGATGATACCCTTGATCACCACCACGAACACGTTCACGTTCTCCGGCAGGTTCTCGACGGTCGGGTTCTCCACGGGGACCGACGTCACGTTGTTCGGCGTGGTGCTCGACGAAGTACTGGTGTTGCTGGAAGACGTCGGGGTCGGGTCCACTCGGCTGGGCAGGCTTGTCGTCACCGCTGCCATTACGTTCAACATGGTGGACCACGTGTCAAATGGCTCGACTTTACTCGGTCATGGCCGTGGATTGTGCCCGGCCACGCTGATCATGTCTGCCGCTGTTGTTCGCCCCTTCTCACTTGGCTTTCCACCACGATACTATTCGTATTTGTATTTGTGCTCGAGCTTCTCTAGTGTATCGAGTTTCGTTTCAATTCTCGCTGGTGTTTCTCTCGAACTGGTAGGTCCCTGTCTGCTTAGCGGAGTCTGACATTTGTCCCCGGCGAACCGACGACCGTTGATCCTGCACTTTTAACAAACAACTGATCGACAACGTTAACGAGTTTGTCCGATTCTGTCCGCCCGTTTTCTATCCGAGTGAAGTGTTTAAAAAAACGTTGGTATCGATCTGGTTACTCGGGATACTCCTCGACGGAGAGTAGACGTACTTTCTGGGCCCTCGAGTGGGACCTCCTTCGGAAAGCAGTTTTGACACAATTGCCAGTGTGACTTGGGATCCTCCTCAACGGCTGTGAACTCGTGGTAATTAACCACGATCGTTGAATGTCCATTGTTGACCAAAGTGCTCTTGGATGTCTTTTGTGAGAAAGACTTTGGCTCAATGTCGGTAGGTCTTTCGTTCGAGATTGTCTCTGTTAACGAGACGCTGTTTTCTTTTTTTTTTCTTCTTCTTCTTCTCCTTCTTCTTCGAGTCGAACGTTTCGCGAATCACACGGAGCGGATTAGAGTCCAATATCTGGGATTGTATTGCTGAAACTCGCGTTGTACAGGCGGCGGCTGTTCATCGAGTTAAACGAAGGCTAACGATGCTATTAGCACAATCCCGTTTGCTTTTGATTCGCAGCGTAGTCCCTGCAATTCAGAGATATCCGATCGATAAATTACAGACGAAGAATACTTAATGGATCTTGTTAATTATTTCTAAATTTCTTATTCCTTATACGACGAGAATTTTTTTAAGTTATTTGTTTGTCTAGAAGTTGTGAGAATATTATACAAGTGTACGAAAAGAAAAGAATCGTATGTATTTTCGATGAGGTATAACACAATGTATACATAGATAATAAAGTAGAAATTAGAAACTAGTTAGCCATCAGTAACGCAAGTGTGTAAATATCCTGTCACGTTTTCAAGAGTCAATGGAGATTTTTCAATAACCGTGGCTTTTCAATGTTCGCTATTCTATTCGGAGAACCTCACGCCGAAATATTAATCACCGAATTCCATATGGATGCCAACGAAAGGAATTAAGGGAGAGGCTGCAGTTGCGCGTTGGCAACTGCATCGGATCTACGGGCCGCAATACTTCCAGGAAACAACAACGATACGTAAAACGGGAAGCGAGATAATCCGTGAAGCGTGAGCCAGCTGACAGTTGGAACCGGAAACACTGGCTTGCATCCTTCATCAAGATCATCTCCACCGCTGAATCTGATGCTCGGGCGAATGTCGAGACAACATCGAGATTTCAATGTTTCGATCGTTCGCGACGATTGAGCGACGAAAATTTCGAAGTACACGTCGATTCCGAAGAAATCTGTTTCGATTCAATATCTCGAATTTCTACTCTGAACGCTACCGTCTGTAACTTATCTCATCTTTGTCCCACTTTACCAGAAAAAAAAATGCGATCGTATCGATCATTCTGCGAGCCCCCTTAATCGCAATCACACGCAAAGGAAAAAAGGAGCCATCCATTTTGAAACAATTTGGTCGAAGAAAGAACCGCAATATCCCTTAGAAAAGGAGGACGTTTACCCCACCAGAGGAAGAGATCTTCATTTTCGAACGCGGCAACCCTAACGCCGGTGAAACAAATCGTCCTATTTATACGCCAGAACAAAGAAAGCGTCGGCCATTAGACGCGAAAGAAAGGAATCGAAGGCAGGGAGCGAGATACTACACGAGCTGTTACTACTAGCAATAACAGCTGCGACGACGAACATGGTTCGTTCGGCGTGGCGACAACTTCATCCTTCCGTGCACTCCCGCTAACAAATTGCATCGATGACAAATCGCCGCGCGTGTCTGGGGAGAGTATTCCCGGCGAGAGCGAGACGAGAGTTTCTACGTCGCGATGGAGTGAAGTTGGCCACCTGGCAGGGCTGTAGCTTCCAGTTAAAAAGTGATTGCACGAAGATGGAGCTATTTGCGAAGAAGATTACGGGAGAGCCGCGGCGGAATTACGATGGCGCAGCGACAACGAAATACTTTCTAACGTCGCGCCAGGTGGGGCCAGATTGAGAATTCACGCGACAGTTTTGAATTGCGTTGACTCGTAAAAGGTGTCGTAATGAAATCTGACGTAAATATTCTATTATATTTTTTAAAATATATTATACAGTGTTATACTTGTCAGTATAGATTTCTCATCGACAATATTTTATCGTATGAAAAAAATTCAGGATAAAGAATTAAACATAATAATCAGTTATTTGATTCTTCCCGAAGTATCGACTGTCCACGTCATTTGAACAAATCTTTATTTAAATGGTACCCAACAAACAATAATTTTTATAATAAAAATCATTCGAACAATATCAAAAATATAATTTAATACACATTTCTGATTTTCAATATTCAATAAAACAAGAATAATCTTTTATTTCGCTCGTCTCATTTCAAACATAAGGAAGGACCAAATTATTTGATGAAAATCGAGATATTTTTAAAATATAAAAGTAACTTTACGTGTCTGTGTGCGACTAATCACAGAATTATTATTATTTTTTATTGATTTCTCTCATTTTCGAGCTTGGTTAGGACACTTAGAAATCAATACGTATTGAAAAAAAATGTCAAAATGAGAAGATTGATTTTTTTCTGTCAAATGTCGCCTGGATTCCACTGTGCGTCATCCTCGTGGCATTACGAGGCAGCGCGTCATTTCATCCGATGTAATGAAAGAGTCGAAAGAGGCGAATTTTCTTCACTGTTGCGCCCAGTTCTCAAAACCTTTAATTACAAAGGACGCGCGGCTACGGCCACGTTAAACGAAGAAACGGATTAAACATCTACGAACGAGTATTTAACGCAAAGGGATTACGTTGTACGGCAAGTGGTGGAAGTCGAGAGGAATTGCCCCCTTCAGTCGTGCCATAATTAGACACTGCGTTTTGCCAATATTCGATGGAACAGAAGAGTTCAAACTGGACTCGCTTCTGATTTCATTCGAGACAATTTTCAAAAATATTTTTTACCTAACTGGAGATGCTGGCGACTGACAGGTAAGTCACGCGAGAATTTGAGAATCGAGAAGAATCCCTTTGAACACGCTAAGATTTTGCCTAACTTTGAAAATCAATTATATAAAGTCTATACATTATATACAAAGTAAACCGCGAATCAAACGACTCGAACGTTGAAAACGGTTCCCGGAGAACTCCCTCACTCCGGTGAAAATTTCGTTCGATATAAATCGCGCGAGATCCAATCTTGTCGACCGCAAGCTCGCTCGTTGCCAGAGAGAAAGTGGTAGAGGCGGAGAGAGATGGAACGTGAAAAGCGAGCGGAACACGTCGCCGACACGGTACGTGGACATCAGAAAAGGAGGCAGACGAAATGTGTGTCAATCGATAGAAGTGATTCGGGGTATAAAATACGCGAAACAGATCGTGGAACAATTTCACCGATGACCACGTTCCGCCGTGGCGTGGCTAATGCCCAAGTTCGACCTTTGCCCGCTTCTCTTTCAGTTACGCGACCGGACACGCCTCGTCCTAAAATCGTTTCGTTGAAACAGTTCTGTAATTACTAACTGCTAATTGCTAGATATTTTTTTATGATGAACGAATCAACTAGTTAGTCGTACAACTGACTTGATCGAAGTTACTTGTCGTTGAGCTCGTTCAAAACGGAGAGATGCAGGCGAAATCGAACGTACGTTTCTTTCATCGCTTGCACTCCAACTTGATTGACCCGCGATTCTGAATAACGGCACGATACAACAGCATGGCACAAGATTGATGAATTGATTCTCAGACAGAGTGTGATTGGTTTCGATAGATGGAATATGGAGATGAGTAGAATTAATGGGCTAAATCGGTACGTAGATACAACTGAAGTTTCGCAGTGGAGAATGGGACATACAAATGGATATTGAACGCTTCTCGTATGATGTTCATACTTTGAGGTATTGCACTTGGTATAATAAACATCCGAGAGTGTCTCGTTACACAAAAGCCTCTCGATTCTCGTTAAATTTACACACCAGTTTTCAACGAATCAGGCAATAGAATCTACCACCTGCGAAATTGAATGTAACTACAGATATTTGAAACTTGACGAGAAAGATGAGAACGATCAACTCGAATATTAAAGCTGCAGGAAACTTCGGAAGAAAGTACGAGTGTCTGAAAAGATTTACGTTGAAAACTGAAGATGAAAGGAAAAAGAGGGAAGAGAATGAGAAAAGAAAAATGATTTCATTTTCGTGAAAGGGTAGGAGGGGGGAGAAACTACGAAAAGAGTGTAAACTGCGAGAACAAAACACGGTCGTCGTATGTTATGCGTCACTTCTTTCAGATCCAAGCGACACATAAGTACATACATACGTATGTATATGTATACAGCAAACGACACAATTTATTCCAAATACATTTTATCCTCTCTCTCTCTCTCTTTCTTTTTCTTCGAGGAAAAATAGGTTGACTGCGTTTGGACGAAATGAACAGAGTGTTAATTAACGTCGACCTAGCGAGAATTCGATTTCAATTTTACAGCATTCAGGCCCAAGGCAATTTACTACTGTGAACGAAAACGACGCGAGACGAAACAGCACTTCTGCTCGGTTCCATTTTAATCCAAGACGAACGTTCCAGTTCTTTCATATTCCTTCTCGCGTACGTTACAACCGCGCGTGTCCGAATCTCGCGAAAAAGAAAAGATGAAAATCCTGTGTGTATCAGTTCCTCCGGGCAAACTTTGCCAATGCATTAAGTTGTAAGCTTGACAATCAAAAAATGAACATACACGTTGCTCGAAGTAATATGCAAAATGTGCTTGAAAATGCATTTTCGAGCGACAGAAATAGGCACTCTAGGAAGACAGATGAAACTCGAGATCCGAGTGTGCACAGTTCGAGCATTTTGCAAACACGAAAATGACCACACCTCTTCTAAATAGTAATTGAATTCCACAAAATGTAACCAACCTATTGGAGTTGACCTGGAGTCCTGAGTAAATATTGAAATTGATCTCATTCCTATTCATCACGCATAATAATTAGCGTACTCTGACAAACTTTGCCTTGCAAAAGTTTCCCAACGTAAGAAATATTTATCGTATATGGAACGTTTCAAATATTGCACACCGTTCGTAAAAGTTAAGATATTATTTTACCATACTAAATGCATAAGAAGGGATGACAAAGACTGTGCAAATAAATATTTATACTTTATATTAATGAGAGAAAATACGACTTTGGAGAACTGCGACACGTGTTTCTTTTCGCTTAATCGCGCGGGGTCGTCAGCGTAACAATCGCGTTAATTCACATTTACATGTATGAATAAAATAAAAGCAGCGAACGAAAATGCGATTCTATCCACTATACGAAATGTTCGCTCTCTAATTTTCGTATAAAAATCGTTCCCCACGTTGCACGTTGAAAGCCGTTTCAACTTTCATGATGTTACACAGCTCTGCGGATACTCAACAAGATGAAAACATTCCAAAAGTGTAAACGTGGACAATTTTTCTGCACGCTGTTTGTATTGTCATAAAAATTATAAATTTTAACTAACCCCCGACAATTATCTCAAACCATGACAATCGTGTTTCGTCGTAGTGCTGCGAAGGAAATTTCAAAAATTTTTTTTTCGTACCAAAACTAGCTAACCAGGAAAATTTCTACGTAAATATCAAGTATCGATTTCAAGTACTTTTCAATGAAACAACAAGAAATACCCAATAAATACCCGACCAGCTCGAGAACTATGTCATCAATTACTTCTAAAACGGATTTATTTACGGCCATCTTGCGCTCACGGAACGCGATTCTCCCCCACGGTACCCAGTCCACCCGGGAAACGGAGAAATGGTGTGCGAAAAAGATTTGTGGGCGAGAACCTTTACAATCCAACACTAATTACCGCGATCAATTAGCACCCTTGTCGCCGCGGGGGGTGCATAACGCCTAGCTACGCAATGGACTGGAACAATTACCGATTGGAACGACCTTATTCTCCTCTAGCTTGCGTTTTCCTCCACTGCATCCACCGAACAATCGAGATTACACCGTCATCCAGATAAACGTAACAACCTATATTCCTTCCTTTCAAATTTTTACGCGATACAAACGCAACAACCCCTATTCCCCTTCGTTTCAAAGCAAGGATCAAAATTGATTACTTTTTCTTTCTTCGTGTAACGTAATTACTTTCGTGTAGCGCAATTCTTGTAACGATGAAGTCTCGTTAATTTCTTTTTTTCCTTTTTTTTTCTTTTTAGAAAAGATGAAGTATTCTTGGTGGGAGCAACTCTTAAAATAATGAGGAAAGTTGGGAAAATGCATACTTTCTTTCACACCGATCTGTAATATGTCTGACAACGGACGGACCAATTCCCTTACGTCCCACTTGCTTGCCCTTCCTGGATTTTATATCTCCCTTGTGGAATTGATGCATCAATCAAATTACACTTCACCGTATACCATACGCTTGATGGTATCCAATAAATTGCTTATGATGGTAAAAGCTTCCAAACGACGTCCCTCGTTGGTAATTAAATTGCGAATTTTTATGCATTATCGTAGTATGAATGCGACAATGTCAATTGTGAAAAGTAATTTGTCGCCCAATTCTCGATTAAAAAGGTGTCAAAGCTTGTCAAAAGTCGTTCAAAAGAAGAGAAAAACTTCATTGCCCTCGAACTACATAAATTCCTCGTTACTTGCCTCGCTCTCTCAGCATTCTATCTTCATCTCGTGAATGCAGAGCCGCGATTTCTAGCGGCGACAGTTGTCTCGGTCGTTCGTGGTGGATAAATATGAAGAAAAATCGAGGAACAATGACACTTAACCCCGAAACCTACACCCGTCACAGACCATTGTCAATGAAAAGTCTTAAAAAATGACGAGCACAGCTACCTTTTTACACAGATTCACATTCTGCAACCGATCTACGTTCTTAACGAAAGCGAGTCGTGAAATAGCCAACCTTGCAAGTTTGATAAAAAAAAAAGCATCGAAAAGCATTGAAAATGAAAAATATTCAACTTTATTTGTTCACTAGACAAGACGATTGATTACTAAAGATGTTTCAATCTTGTTAATTATTAATTTCATGTCTGTTAACCATGTACGAGTATTACAAATTTGTCTTGAACTAAAATGTTTCACATCCGGAATATCGTTGCCTATTTTATTTATTATTATTGTATTATAATAAAATTTTTACTTTTTACTAGTATTTCCATTTATATTACGTGTTAAGAAAAATAGCATTGAAGAATAACTCAAATTCTTTGCATCGTAATGTCAACGTTGTACAACCGCGAGAAATTTTGTCTCCACTTTTAGATGGAACATTCGGAAAGAACAGTTTCGAAAATCAATTTGAGACTGGAAAAGTCTTCGTTAATTTTCATTATCGAACGAGAGTTCTTCGAAGGGAAATACTTGCGCAAAGATAATACACTTCTGCTTGATTAAATCTGACAAAGTCGCGAGACACTTTGTACGACTTGAAATAATTTGTCCTACGTTCGAATTTTGTTTAAGGTCTTGCGAGAGACGTTGAGAAACATCAGAAACCGTGTACCCAGAAAATTACACGAGCCTTCATCTACCAAGATACAAACCTTAAGTAGCCTTAAAGGCTTAAAGTATTAAATATAACGACCGACAAATCCTTCGTTGCTTCGAATAAACGCTAGAGCGCATTTCTGCTCAAGCGTTATAACTAAAATTGTCAAATTTCCGAAAGATGGTGAATGAAATTAAGGTTTGTGGTGAGTAAACTCGAGAAATGGACAAAAGAAAATGTTGATGGATCTCTACGACAAAATATTCACACCATCTTTCCAAGAAATATATAATTCCCAACGACTTTCTAAACAATTTGTACGGCGATTTTTAAAATTCACACCCTTTGGCAAGAAACAGTTTATTTACATTGCCACACTGATCTATCTAAAAATTGCAACGTCAATGGCATTCCACCAAACGATTCCTGAAATTTGTCATCAATACGCGAGAGAATATTTACACTAATATACATTGTCCCACCAACATCTCCAAATTTTATCAAATATAATAATTCGCAAAGCGACCTATCTAGCTTCTTTTTCACGAAGAACTCCTCAGTTAACCTTCATTTACCGTCGACGAAAAAATACTCGGAGAGGGAAACCAGATTCTCGATAACAGGCAATGATCATAACCCGAAAGCCTCTTACAGCTCAAACCTCGGTGATAAACACCGCATTACCTCCGCAGAGGGGCATCCACACCAAGACTACCACCTTCCCAACACCACGGATACACCATCCACCAGACTTAAACACAAATAAAAACACCCTTCGGAGTCCGACCTGCGACGAAACACATCCCTCCCAAAACACTTTCGCCGCGTTTCAAGCGGGGAACTGACCTTCCCGCCGGCGTCCGTCGCTTGCCTCAACATCGACCAACCGCACGTTCATCCTCTTCAATTAGAACGACGAACGAGCCCTCGAGCGAATGAGTAGCCCTTTAGTTTCTGATACTCGTGCTTCCTCCACGACGCGTATCAACGTACACGAACGATATCGACGGCCAACAGAATTTCGTCGAATTTGAAACGCATTGAACGCGAGGTCATGGATCGTGTGAACAGAACGCGTCAGAGTTCACCCGTTTGGGGACGAACAAAAGGCGCGACGGCACATTTTCATTCATCGTTTCGGGGGCACAGTCGTAGAAACGCGATCGCGGATAGAACCGCGAGGCCGGCCGCTTGTTTCAGCGGGTCAGGGCGCACTGTCCGCTTCGGGGAAGACACCGATCCGGTTGCTTCGAGCAACCACCGTGGAAGGCGCCACCGACGTCGAAAACAACCCCTTCCGAGAGTTTCAGGTGCGATGCACCAAGTTGTCGGTTAAAAAGAAGGGCGGCAAGCGGCCGTGGTGGAAGGGCTCTGCCACCCTCTTCACGGAGATAAGCGTCGCGCTGACAAGTGCAAGGTTAATTGGCAGAAGGCGACCGAGATGATTTTTCTTCAGCCAGACGACAGTTCAACTGTCGGATGCTGTCGAAACAGACGATCCGTGGTGAGAGACCTTCGCTTTCTCCCGATTCTTTGTTTATTTAGGCGATATAAGATAAGTAGTTATGGTAGTCTTGGATCAATGATAGACGCTGTTTGGCCTGAATCGAGAATATGAATAGATTGAATTGAGAATACGCGAATAAATTAAGCACCAAGTGTTTGCAAATGCGTAAATGTAACGTTGTCAATCGTTTCGAGTTCTATCGATACACGACGTCTCACAGTGTTATTTATATAATAAATAAAATAACGTGAAAGTTTCCTATGATATCGTTTCTCGCGCCGTTAAAATTTGATCAAAATTCCACATAAATCATTTATAAATCAGATTTGATTGAAATCAATTTACAAAGAACAATTAAGCTTTCATCGTTCGTGGCATTCGCGGAACGAGAAGCGTTCATAAAACGGATTATCGCTTTGTGGAAAGCAATACTTTTCATCTTCGTTAATTATCCATGAGATGACCGTCGAGCATCCAGCTACATTAAATTTACATAAACTCGGACTCGGAATGAATCGTGTTCGAAAAAGAAGTTCGCGAACTATTTTATCAAAATATTTAATTGTAAATTAATATCAATTATAAATATTTAATTTTAAATTCAATTATAAATTTATTTAATCAATTTTGAATTTAAATAAAGTGACAAATAACTTGTGTTTTATTCAATAAATACGAGAAATATTGCAATGTCAGACTTTACTTAGCTTTGAATGCTATTTTCGATAATTGCATTACATTATTTCAGACAAATTATTTTACTTTTGCAACGTCGTTTTCGTTTCTAAAACAAATTTTTGTAAATCATCGCGATTAACCAACATACTTGTTCTAAGGAAAGACGACAGAATTAAGTCGGTTAAACAGAACGGTTCCGAGGATTATTTATTTGTCACAACGAGGATTTTCTGTATTCTTTGCTTTGAGCCGTTCTCGTAACATGTACATACATAAGTTCAATCGTCCTGCTGCTTTTCATTCTAGAGACTTTAGAGCCCGGCGAACGCGTATAGGGATTAAGGCTACTCTGTTCTTTCACCTCGAGCTACATTTCCTGAAAAACCGACTGAATCGCTGTCTCGTACTACCAACACTAACAAACTTGCACGAAAAATGAGATGAGGAAATAACGAAGCTGTGAAATTTTTATCTCGCGCAAGTTCTATCCGTATCTATTTTTAAACTAAGTTTCACTCGATATTTGATCTTTGCAACATTCCTTCCGGAGTCTTCTTCCGGAAAATTTATCTCCGCTCATTTTCAAGTTTTCTTATTTCCATCCTACCGTCGGAGTGACCGGCACGATGTTATTACCAGGAATCATCCGCGGTTTCACTAGTGCTTCCTCAATTTCATCAGAAAGTTTTCGTACGAGTTCGACGAGTTGCCGTCAACTAAAAATCGTGTAGAGTGTTCGTCGCTTATTTTTCCACCGCCCCGGGCTAACAATCAGTTACCTTGGTCGCAAGCTCATCAAACTTTCACCGCGATCTCTTTTCCTCCCACCAGTGAAAATCGTATTGCCCCGGAACATTTTTTGAAATTTGTTCGACCGATGACACAGCATGAGACGCGACATTATTCTCGGTAAGTCAAGTTTCAAACGTTGATACGATATTCTCCACTTTTATGAGCTCAGTCGACGATTCGTGGTCCGTTATCTTGATTTTAAATTTGAATCTTTCATTTATTTTCACATTTAAGATTATTTTAATATCAACTTATCTCAAAACGTTTTCTAAGATGTTAAGAAGTTATTCTTTAGGCCATCGATACGATATAGTATATTATTTCATAATTTCGCAAGAAAATATTCCGCACGGTTCTATAAATCTTCTGACACGCTGGAATCTAATAACCGACACCGTGTGCGATTTGATAAATCGATTTGCGGAAGTGAACTACGTCGGTGGTCCACTGAAACCGACGTTACCACAGAGAGAAATATGCTTGTGCGTGACTCAAAATGATCGATAATGTTTTCTTACAACGTATCACTTCGTGCATGCGAGTGTGCATCGCAGAAACCGTGATCGATATGAATGCTCTCTCATATTACTTTAATGAAATCCTAATGGATTTTTACAGCGGTTCGTTTTTACTTTACCCTTTCAACATTTTAAGTATTACTGTGATTAATCTTAATTTAAAAGTGAAACTGATGAATATTCTAACAATCCCGCGGAGTGAAAATCAAAACTGTATTAATTTCGAATTTCTACCATATTATATATAAATAGCAACCAATCTTTTTTCGAATGGACACATTATTTCATTTGATAGCGAATATATTTGGAAATTCTAAGGGAAACGATGCTATTGTCCAGGGTATAGGAAGAGTGCCAGTTAGCCAGGAATCAGAGAGAAAATCAGGGGTGTCCGTTAAGCGTGATAATGAGAAAAGCAAACAGAACGGAGATGCGTCGTGGCAACTGGTCCGAGCACGTAGCAGCAGTGTCTATTTCGCACTTAACAAAGGTTCACGACACAGACAGAAGAAGCAAAGTTAGCGCCTGGTTTCACGTCCAAAAGCGACGGAAATTTTCAGCTTAAATGTTGCACATTGCTAATAATTCCTTTGACATGGGTCGACTGGGACAGAAAACACGAATGCACCGCGTGAAGCATGCGGTATTACAAAAGAAACATCGAAGTTTAAAAAGGATGCATTATAGATTTTTGCTAAATATATATTATTATACAATTTAATAGCTAAAAATAAGTTCTACATGAAAATTACATGCGCCCTCAAAAATTATAACTAACTTCAATTTAAAAAAAACGAAACAAAACACAATGATATCTTTTAAAAATTCAAGAAATACGCGGTATCGCAAAAGAAACATCGAAGTTTGTTTTAAAAAAGACACACCTTTTGCTAAATATGTGTATATTATTTGACAGTGGATTCTATGCGACAATTGCGCCCTCAAAAATTATAAACAACTTCGATTAAAAGAAAAAGAAATATCACAAGACGGAAAGTTGCTGTTTAAAAATTCAAGAACAAGAAAGAACTACGTAAGCGAGAATTTATTTAAGAACTTTGAATTATAGGAGAGAAATATATTTCACGAAATGGAATTGGCCTCGGGATCGACCTCGTCTACTATATTAACGTGAGAAAAATTCGTCTCTCTCTCTCTCTCTCTCTCTAAATTTCTAAAAATACCACTCTCAATATGCCAACATTGCCCGGAAACTTCTTAATGTCCGTCCCACGCGAAGTCCTTGATATTCGCTGCAAGGACTCGTCGATAAGCCGGAAACGTAGGAAACTCGGCGTTGAACGACCGCAGCCCTGGGATACAGGGGATGTTCGATGCAGTTTCTGCGCGGGAACGAGCCGGATTGCTGGCAATGGACCCTCTTTCCGTTTACCCTCGTCATTGGCAAAGTCAGCGTTGGTACGAGCGGAATAAGGGTCACGAGTACATAATCGATGCATTCTCCGCCATCGTCAACCCCCGCCAGCAACGTTGACCTTGTCAACTCAAATCGAAAAACTCACGAAGTGAATCTATCGACGTATACCGAAGATTTCCGAACAACGTCTGACGAAATTTATAATTTGCAAAGGTGATACAAAAAAAAGATTGTATTTTTGAAACAGGACTGTGTGTATTTTTTTATATATGTAGTAATTATTGTGCATTTTTATTTTAAATGAAATGACATAACATGCGAAACGACACGATATGATATGATATATCTCGATGTGATATGTTGTATACATGTATTCATATTAATAATCAGAGTAATCTTGCAAAATATTCTTTATAAATATTCTTTCTCATACGAAATATTCTTCATAAACCATAAAACATTTACCAGGATGATAAAACATGGATTAAATTTATCGATATTTCAAAAAGTTTCTATATTGTTTTATTACCCCTATTAACTTTACCGACCGGTAGCGGTTGATAGGTAGTCGATTAACGGGTTACCGGTCGGTAAAAAGTTTAGTCGAAAAAAGTAAAATATTGAATTTGGACGTTCTAAACGAACTTACCAAAAATTTTCGTTCTGTTCACCAGTGAAGATCCCATGCTTCTGTTTTGTTTCACAAAATGAAATAGTATGACCAGTTCAAAACGTACTCTGTCTTCGAACAACCGTTATTTTAACCCATTTTAGTCACTTAAATCGATGCTTTTCGCACCGAAATTATCACGCGGAATACGCGGTACACTACAAAATTCGAGTTTTATAGACTTTTGAACAATTAACTCCCGAACGCGACGTAATTTGTATAAAATTCCACGGAGTTACGCGGCGCGTGCACTCCATGTTTAATTTTCAAACGGAAACTGGAAACTTCGAATACGTGACGTCATGGTCACGTGATGAGTTGATAGTTTACCGGTTGTAAAAGATGTCGCTAAAAATAAATTAATAATTATATTATTTTCATTTTAATTCGTTTGACTATTTAATTTATTTAATCATGTGATGTATTCAGAATATTCACAATATACTTACCCATAATATATCGAAATACAATTCGAATTAATCGTACTCTGCTTTCGAACGACCGTTATTATATAACTCTTTTTTTTGTTACTTAAATCGATGATTTCGGACAGAAATTATTACGCGAAATACGCGGTACGCTGCAAAATTCGAGTTTTATAGACTTTCGAACAATTAACTCCCGAACGCGACGTAATTTGTATAGAATTCCACGGAGTTACGTGGCGCGTGCACTCCATGTTTAATTTTCAAACGGAAACTGGAAACTTCGAATACGTGACGTTCTGATCACGTGATGAGTTGATAGTTTACCGATTGTAAAAGATGTCGTTAAAAATAAGTTAGTAATTATATAATTTTCATTTTAATTCATTTAATTTATTTAATTATACAATGTTATAAATCAGAATATTTATAATATATCGATATCTATAATATATTGAAATGCAATTTGAATTAATCGCAATTTTGGTATCGCAGTACGGTAAGAGAAATGCAGCGCCACTATACCACTACTAGAGTAGAAAATATATTCTCTCTTGCATTTCAAGATAAGTCATACAATTGAAAAATTCAAATAGTTGAAGCTCTTCAATTTTACCTTTAAATTCTCTTTCATTTATTTTCCGACATTTTTCAAATTTATTGTGTACTATGTATCAAGACTCACTTTCCAACCATTTTCGTGTCACGTCCGACTTTATCGATATAATAATGGTTTGAACATTAATACAATAAAATCAGTACTATTATTCCTATTACGAAGCTAATCAAAATAATAATTTCAAATTTATAAGCATATAGTATTTATAATAGAAAATTTTTTTGAACACAATCGAAATTATTTGTTTCATTACATCGAAGCGCCATTTAATAGTTTGCGATCACAGCGCCAATGAAACGGTGAAATGCAGAATACTTTTACTGCGATTCTCGAACGTAATCGATATTTCTCGCACTCCATCTACAATATTGAACTGTAACGTAAAATTATCAGTTTTACGCGGGAAGCACAAGAGATATCATCGAAAAGTTAAGCCAGATAGAGATTAAAATCAGTAACCTTCAAATATTTATTCGTATTACCGAATAACCTACGATTTATAACAGTAGGCATTACACACATATTCAGAGTTATTACATGTTCAATCCAATGTGTACATATATTCTTTGTTGGTTAGAATTGAATATACGTATATATTTCCATATACAGTGCAGTGACTCAATGAAATATTTTGTGTATTAGAATCACAAGTTAGAACAATTTAGTATGTGATACGGTCACTGTTCAAAATATTTTTGAAGGACGTTTTGTTTTTCCATAAACCAGCCGAATCGTATTCGTGTACGGTCGAATCCCCACCCCACTAATTTGGAGACGCGAACCTGTTGCGCGAGGGGTTAGTTTATTCTTGAAAATTGTGGTACTAAGACGTATTATTCCGTGTAACATTTGTGAATTGCATAATTCTTTCGTCGTCGTCGCTATTGACATCTTCTCAGCACTTCTGTCCATGCTACTGTTAACTACGTTTCATAAGTGTACGTACCTTGTCAATAATTCAAATATTATTGCAATTTCTTACTAAATTATCTTTCTCTTTCTGATCATCTGTTGTTACGTGGTTGTTACGCTTACTAATAGCACTTATAATGAACGTACAAAATACCATTTGATCTTGATCATTGCTTCATTTTTGTATAATTTGTCCTTTTTAACGTTTATTTGAAAATGTCTCTTTTGTGCAGATGTGCTAGTGGACTGAAGAAAGAAATGAAAAATTTGAAAGACGCCATGAAATTCAAAAGGACGCCACGGTAATTCTATAACTTAACATAACAATTCGCGTTTGCGTATTGCGTAGTTTTATTTAACCTTCAAAAAAGCGTCATATTTGATTAGTAGAAAGTATACTTCACACTCTACTGACAGAATATTTACAGACAATATTGATTAACACTATTAGGAAATATTTTAAATACATTAATTAAATTTTCGGTATTCTTATAATTCAATATATTTAAATTAGGATTTATTAAAATTTTGATTATTTTATGATTAAAAATAAATTATAATACCTTATACTTTGTTGCAGATTTTTTCCAGTCTTCACTTTTACCATGGGAGTTGACGTCGATTTCTCTTAGGCCATGACAACGTTCTTCGCACCTAATTGTGAGTCACATACTTTTTTATTCCTCGTGTCAATCATGTCATAAAATGAAAGATTTGAATCAACACGAGTGACTGATTGCATTACGTAGAAATTTTAACGAGCATAGTGATGACGAGTATGTTAGAAAATCCATCCAGAACATGGAAAATTATTCTTATACTTTGTCACTATCCTCGTTTGTAGTATTTGTAGTATGTAGTAATAATATTCATTTTTACCAATGTTGACCCACTATCATATTGAACAAATCGCGGATTTGTTATTATAATGTTTCAAGAAAATAATTACAATTTATATTGGAGTTTCAATATAATTAAGATTTCACATTGTGAATCAGAATTGCAAATAGATAACTTTTGTTTGAATTAGAGAGTGTTTGCTTTAATGTTATAAATTATAAGATTTGTCGCGAATAATTGAAGTGGTTTTTTTTTAGACGGATACAATACTGTTTTGATTTCAGAAATTGGTATCACAATACTTTTCTATTCCAGTTCTTTCCATTATTTTTCAAGTTAATATTATCAAGCATTGCTATATATTTGTGTGTCTTTAAATAATGTTGTGCATAAAATGAACAAGTCCAAAGAGACTTTGCATTGAGATCATGAAAATATGTTCCTGAATCATCTTTTGTGGTTAAAAAGCTTATCCTTAGCCTGTGGTACATCGTATCACAGATGATAATATACATTTGCAATTTTGATCCCCTTGTGCTCTCCACTTTACCTACTGTCGTACTTCTTTACCCTACAGACGAGGTGCTTTTTATCGATTACTAAAGATCTTATCATAGTTTGATAAATCTCCGTATAGATTTTCATTTAATTTTCAGTTGATAAAAATATTTTCTTTCTCTAATTTTGATTTATCCAATCATTAACGGTCGTGTGTGGAAATATAAATTCATGTGTTGTAATTACGATTAATTACGTGGTCGATCATATTTCGATAAAGAATTGCCAATTACAATCTGCATTTTACATAATGATATTTATCACACAAAATACAAAGTATAAATTCTAGAATTCCAAAATTAATCTCGTAGATATGCAAATAATTCAACAAGACTATTTATTTGAAAGATAAACTAGAAATATATTTTCTATGCAAATTTGATGAATATCTTGAACAAAAATATATGCTGTCTGTAGAAAATGTAGTTGGTTTGTAAATACACAGCAGCACAGCTCAACTTCAAGTTCAACGAATTCTAGACTTTGTAAAAGCTCAAGTTTGAAAGATCTATTATAAATAACTACAGTCTTTGGATAGTTTCGAAGATCGCAAGTATTACACAATAGTTTCGAGGAACTCTGAGCTAAAGGTCAAACGACTTATGGGATAAGATACTAAATCCTTCTTTAGGTTTCATTCTTTCCTTTCCGCGAGTTTTTCCAAATTCATATACGTTCAAATTATTTAAGTCAAGTTAAAATATAAAAGAATTAGAAACTTAATCAACTAATAGATAATTAACATATTACTACAATAATTTCGTTTAAATTCCAATATCATTTCTTCGAATCTCTTGTATCGAACAATACTAAAATCATTGATAACATGGTTCAGGATATTCTGTTGTTGCTGACTTGTTACTCAAATGTGATATCGCGTTGAATAGAATTAGTAGAGACTCGTGGGTAGAATTTCAACGAATTGACATACGTTATTTAATATTGCAAAAAATGTAGCGTGTTCGCGATTTTAGCAATGCTTCGAAAGCTAAATGCATTCGGTCAGGTTGTGACCCCATTGACTTGCGCGGTAAGAAGTGGATCCACTTTGAATCCCTACGAATTTTCTACTATTTACCCTGGCAGCCGAACGCCACGCAAAGAAATATCTGGATTGCATCCGTTTCTCAAATCGTTTTGCATTTTCTGCCACGGAAGATTTATAGTAATCCCTCTTCTCTTCTTTCCCTGGAAATAGTACTTTGTCAAAATCGGCTATCTAATGAAAATCTGAAACTGTAGTCTCATTGTTTCTTGAAAGGATAAGGAACTCCGAGAAGTATTCTGGAATTTTTTACTAATATCGTTACGAATACTTTATAGATAGAAATTATTCGATGAATAATTAATATTAGAACTGTCAAAAAGATAAAGATGATCAATTTCAAATAGAAATTCATATAGAATTCACATAGAAATTTTAGAACTTTTTAGACGTACCTTGAAGTTCTTTTCGCAATAACAGTAGAAAGTCTAGACTTCTCCTAGACTTAGACCTCAGTGTAATAAAGAAAAATCGTACCTCATACTAAGGTTGGAAAATAATTAATCAGAGCAAAGATTGCTCTTGGACTTTGAACAAAGAACTCCACGATTATCTAATTGCGAAGTAAAAATTTATGAACTTGGCGATAAAAGGAAAAAAAAAACAATAATTCTCTCGGCATTCCACCCGACAAAAAGCTAAACGACCGTAGCTGAAAATTCTTGCGTTAAATTACGCTTTTTTTCAAACCGTAGCTAATAATGTCGAAAGAAATTAACTTGCCTTCTTCCACTGCCTCGGGCGTTTTATATAATTAAAACTTTGACGGCAACGCTCATTAAAATATGTCGAAAATAAAAGTTCGAGAAACTTCAACGATTGAATAGCTTCGAATAACGAACGGGGGCGAAATATTTTTAAATGTTTAAAAAGTCGCCCGATGCGATTTTGAAAAATAAAAGAGGCGACATCCGACGTACTTTCCCCACTGGCTTTTTAATCCCAGCAGCGTACACAACGTAAATCGAACCGACACGGTTACAAAGGATTGTTTTAAAAAAGAAAAAAAAAAAAAAAAGGAGAAAGTTTCACCGTGTCAAACACTTTTCAAAAGCACCACGACAAAATATTCTTCGTACGCCCCGGTTCAAAGGGTTGTTAAAGGTTACCACGCGCGCGGAACGAGTAACACACCCCCGGCAGCGATTTTTACGTCGTTGAATACGACGCGAGACTTTCGAACCATCAGCCATCAAACAAGAACTGCACAAGTTCACCATCACCATTTGTGCGTATTAATCGCACTGACTTTTCCATGCTAACAATACATTCAAATGCAATTTAGGTCGTGACCTCGCCGACCTATATGCCGTGTAACGAAAGCCTGTTCGAAGCCTCTTTGCGAAACTCGTGTCTATTCTTACTCTCTCGAAAGGAATCACGCGGATTGGGAGTCCTTACGATGTGTATCCACCGACGTGAATTTCAAATCCACTGCCGCATCGTTCCTCCGCGTATCGCCAATGGAATATTTCCTCGCGGTAATGTGCTGCAGATAGCGTCTGTTTTATGGTGATTGTCTTTTAGTAGATAGGGGAGCATGATCGTAAATTGGGAAAACTTGCGAAAACTCGCGTTGGTTGCCGCGTAATCCCTTAACCATATAAATCTTCCTGTTTGGAATTCCCTGACTAAATTACGTTTTATCAAAAGTAGGCGAACTCGCAGTTGTATGACAGAAATTAAATTATATTGGCAGACATGTGTGTTTGATTGTCCTGAAATTATCCATTTTCTTTTTTTTTCCCCCCATTTTTGAATTAGAAACTTTGAAACTGATGTACACACGCAATGATATCTACATCGTGCGTTTCGTACGTTTTAGACACAATTTTACAAAAAAAAGAAAAAGAAAAAGAAAGCATTTCCTGACTAAATTACGTTTTATCAAAAGTAGGCGAACTCGCAGTTGTATGACAGAAATTAAATTATATTGGCAGACACGTGTGTTTGATTGTCCTGAAATTATCCATTTTCTTTTTTTTTCATTTTTGAATTAGAAACTTTGAAACTGATGTACACACGCAATGATATCTAAATTATATATATTAACTAATCTACATCGTGCATTTCGACACAATTTTACACAAAAAAAGAAAAAAAAAAAAAAAAAGAGAAAAAGAAAACATACTTGTGTTAAGCGCGAGCTCCGTTCGTAATCATGCTTCGCCGCAAACAGATTGTCCAAACAATTTCTCGATCAACCACCTCCGTTGGCCATTCGACTTTCTAAAATGTAGTCCAATGCGATATTACAATAATTGCTTTAATTTACTGGAGCATCAGATGCGGAATTTAGGTTACGGCCTCGTTAACCTAGTCGTTAAGATAGAGATTCAGTTAACCCGCGGCGAGAGTGCTGCGTGAGATCTTTCGGAATCGATCCGGCAACACCTTTCGACCCGAATTTTTCCACCCGTGTGTGTTTCGCCTTTCGGCTTTTATTTTCTTCCCTCCTCCTTTCGCACCTTTCGGCGACGAAATTGCTCTCATCGCTTTCGGAGCGGTGAACGGCAACGCACGTGCCCGGAAATAGAAACAGAGAAGAGAATTTATTTATTTCACAGGCTGAAACAGCGGCCAATTGATTCGAGCAATTTATTCCACGATTGTTTTCGTGTTTGTCTTGTCTCTCGGTTTAATCGTCGATCGAGCGATCAGGTTTCCCCACGTGGCGGTATTGTCGTTCTCGAGAGGAGTTTTGAATGGATGACTGCCTATGCTTCGGTTCGAAGTTGATGAAATGCCGGATAAACATGTGAATTGAACGACAGCAGTATCGTACAATTAACTGAATCGATAGGAAAAGTCGGAATATCGCATTTTTCTAGGTACTTGGCTTAATAAGGAATCGTTGGTTTTGTTATTTTTCCACGCTTGTGACAGGTGTTGATGTGTATGTTTGCGAGTTACGGTTTCAGTTGCAGGGTCAAACAAAAAGTTGAAAGCTGTCGTGGGAAAATGAATTTTTCACAAACTTTCGTCGTTTCTCTTGAATCCCGGATGTTATTATTCAAACAGAAATTAATAAAGAGAAAGAGCCACGGTGTTACCCGACAACATCGTTCGCCTGATAATAAAAACGATAATGAAACTTTCTTGGGTTATGGTCGTTAAATATAGGCGTTTCTCAAGCTCTTCTCAGGAAGTCTTTAACGTGCTTATTATTAAACGAAATTAGACTGACGACAAGTTATTGACGTTTGCAAA